TGAGCACAAAAGAAAGAAACATGGGCCTAAAACTGTTGATGCGATTTTTATTGGTTATGTTGAACATTCTTATGCATTGCGATTTTTGGTTATTAAATCTGAAATTTCTGGCATAGATGTAAATACTATTATAGAATTCCGTGATGCTACTTTCTTTGAAAATGTTTTCCCAATGAAAACGGGTGTGCCCCAAAATACTTCTTTTAAAAATTAAGAAACCACATTTAATTCAATTCTTGATCAAGTGAAAAAGATGACACATGTGGGGGTAGAATTTAGTAGTACTAGTCACGCTAGTTTTGAATCAAACGAACTAGATGAACCTAGAAGGAGCAAACGGGCTAGGATCACTAAGGAATTTGGAAGTGATTTTATCACTTACAATATTGAGGATGATCCAATTTCCTTCAAAGTTGCAATAGCTACATGTGAAACCATGCATTGGAAGGATGCCATTAAAAGTAAATGGACTTCATTGTTCAAAATGAAACACGGGAGCTCGTTGATCTTCCTCCCGGGTGTACTACTATTGGATGTAAATGGACTTTTAAGAAGAAGTTAAAATTAGAGGTAACCATTGATAAATATAAGGCGAGATTAGTTGCTAAGGGTTTCAAACAAAAAGAAGGTAATGATTTTTTTGATACATATGCTCTGGTTGCAAGAATGACCACAATAAGAATGCTAATAGCTTTAGTCTCTGTGTATGATCTTAAAATTCATCAAATGGATGTTAACACATTTTTTCTTCATGATGACCTTAAAGAAGAAATTTATATAGATCAGCCTAAGGGATTTGTGTGGCAAAAGACAATGAGAAAAAAGTTTGTAAATTAGTTAAGTCTTTATATGGACTTAAGCAAGGCCCAAGCAGTGAAATGGAAAATTTGATAAAATAATTTTTTCGTTTGGATTTACTCATATAGATGCTGATCAAAGTGTTTATTATAAATGTAAAAGTCATATTAGTATTATTTTATGTCTATATGTTGATGATATAATAATCCCTCCGTATTTTTTTGTTTGCTACAATAGGTGTTAACACATTGTTTAAGAGTGAAATAGTAGGGGTAATGAATAGTGTAGACAAAGTAGGAGGGATGGTGGAAAAGTATGAAAGAGAAGATGAAAAATAGAAAAAGTAATAGTAGTTGAGTATTTTTAAAGGAAAAACTTACCAAAAAGGAAAAGTGTAGCAAATTTTTGAATACATCCAAAAAAAAGTGTAGCAAACAAAAAAATACGGAGGGAGTATTATTTGGCACTAATGATAATATTATTTTTGAGACTGAATCATTTTTGAAAATAAAGTTTGAAATGAAAGATATGAGGGTGGCTGAAGTAATTCTTGGACTAAAGTTGACTAGATCAACTGAAGGAATTTCTATTTCTCAATCGCATTATATTGAAAAATTAATTGAGAAATTTGGATTTAAAAACAGTAGAATTGCTAAAACATCCTATGATCCTTCAGTAGCTTTGTATAAAAATGAAAGTGGTGTTTCTGTGTCTCAATTAAGATATTCTCAGATGATTGATAGCTTGGTTTACTTAGCTAACTATACTAGACCTGATATTGCATTTTCACTGTCTAAGTTGAGCCGGGTACACTTGTTGTCCAAACAGAACTCATTGGGAAGCCTTAGATAGAGTATTTAGATACTTAAAAGGAACCATTTTCTCAAAGGAACCATTTTCTCATGTTCTTGAGGGATATAGTGATGCAAGCTGGATAGCTAAGAACTCCGGGAGTTATGGATGTATCGGTTATGTGTTTACGTTTGGTGGTGGGGCTGTTGCCTGGAAGTCCACTAAACAAACGATACTTTCTCGGTCTACTTTTGGGGCTGAATTATTTGCCATGGATACTACAGGAATTACGGCTGAATGGTTTATGGGACTAATGTCTGAGTTACCTATATTTAGCAAGTCAATTCCACCTATATGTTTGCATTGTGATAGTATGAGTACAATTACAAAAATTAGGAGTATCAAGTACAATCAAAAGACTAGGAGACACACTCAAGTTAGATTAAAGACTATAAGGAAATTTGTGTCTCAAGGGTTGTTTGTTGTTGATTTTGTCGGATCCAAAGATAATACAGCAGACCCTTTAACAAAAGGACTTGATTTAAATCAAGTGATAAAATCCAGGTTAGGAATGGAATTGAAACTCGATAATTATTCATCTACGGTAGCAACCCAAACTATCTGAGTGGAGATCTCATAAAGTAGGTTCAATTTGGTATAAACAAACCATAGAGCGAATTGTGCATCTCATTAAAAAATATTTCATGAGTTCTATTCCTTGATAAGCCTGAGAGATGCTGAAATTGCTAAGTAAGAGTTTAAGACTCTGAATGCGATCGAGCTTTAATAGCAGAGTGTTAACAATGCACAGTGGAGATGCCCAACTATGAGAATGTTATTGTGTGGCCGCAATTAGAGAATATGGGTTAATTCTCAGTGACATTCTTGAGACAGGACCGGGACGCATAACCATAAAGCGTCAAACCTATAGATCGTTGTCATTGCCATTAGTGTGTTGCTTTTATTCCACGCCAACACTATCAAGGTTTGAGTTCAAGAACTTTGTTCACTCAATTCCTGTGGGGGTTACGGTAAAAGCTTAGAAGTTGGTTCAAACCGGAAGGTACCATATTCGAAAGCACACTATATCTGTTAGAGTCCGTCTAAAACTATAATTTGTGGGGGATTGTTGGAAATGTGATGATACAAATGTTTTTTAGTTCACTTTTTTTAGTACGATAATATGTATAAAATATGAATTGAGTGTGGCCTGTTATACATCAAAGAACAATTTTTCATGTTTGGATTTATATCATTTAATGATTAAATTCCATAGTTGTAAAGATTGTAAAAGTGATGTATTATGAACTTTTGTTGCATTTATAAAATGATTGGTCTTCTTTAGATGTTATATGATAAAGGGACATTGTTCAAGTATAATATAAAGTGACTTAGAAATTATCCCATCAGAATCACTTGGTCGTACAGATAAATTAAATGAGCGTCAGATAAGGATGTTTGGATTGCAGCTTTGGTGCAAAACAATTTTTTCAGAATATCACGTTACATCTTTAGGAGTGCAAAAGTAGTTACATAGGAAGCTATTGGAGGGAAACCTAATGTAGGTGCATTCAAAGTGTTCACTGCACATCCAACTCTAGAATTAAGAAAACAACACGCTTGCTTGTTGTGGAGTATTTTATTAAGAATTCTAAAACTCACATACATCATTGCTCTTACATCACTGAAAACCTCTACCATCTGAACAAAAGATATTTGCATTTACACAAAGAAAGAGAATAAAATCAAAGCAAACGCATCTCAATCTTATATTTATTAGTCTAATAACTATATAGCACAAGATTGCTCAATCAGGTCTTTCAGAAACGTAACAAATCAGTCTAATCTATAAACAGATCTGGAAGAACAAGGAAGTAATAGAATAATCGCATAAAACAAATATTTGAACTAAAAAAAAAGGAAATATGCATAAATGGGAGGAATCTATAAACCTAACTAGCAATTAAATCAATTGAAGAAGAGAAAATCGTTACCTTGGTCTCTGCAAAGCTATACGAGGACTCCCAGAAGCTTTAGTCCATAGAGGGAAAGGTGAGGTGGGAGGGAAATTTTTCACAGTACTTGAAGCGTGAATGAATGTTTTGGCGGGCAGATTTTGGCGCTGCTTTGGATACTCCGTGTTAATTTTGCTCAGTCAGCATGTAAAAGGCGCTTTTAAATGAAGACTACAATGTCAATATTATACTAAGAATAACCGCCTTCTCCTCTGCTGAAAAAAGTGGACTCAGCCTCTCCTAATCAGTGCCGCCACATTCATATCATATACCCCTCCGGTTTTGGGGACGAAATTCTGCCACCACTCCTTCAAGGCAACCAGTTATCATACCAAATAGAGATATTCTCCTACCACCCTTTGAGCCTCCAAAATACTCCTCCATATAAAGGAACTTAGCATTCAGAAACGATGTAGTTGGAAAGTACTTCGCTTGAAAAACATTACTTACCAGCGAGCTCGGATATGTTGTTAACCTCCATGCCAGCTTCCCCAACATGGCTATATTAAACTCCCGCACAGATCTGTACCCTAAGCCCCCTTTTGCTTTGGGATACACATTGCTTTCCAGCTTTTCCATCGAATCCCACGCCGCATCCATTCTTTACCTCTCCACCAGTAGCCATTCATTATTCTTTCTATTTCCGAACATAAATCCAAAGGTAACAAAAAAACATTCATAGCATAGGAAGGCATAGCTTGAATAACAGTTTTTAGCATCACCCTCTCTACCCGCCTTGGAAAGAAATCTATTATTTCAGCCTTGATTTTTTTTCTTCAGGACACGCTCCCTCAAAAAGCCCAAAATTTCCGACTTACATATGCCAATTAAAGCTGGGAGTCCTGAGTAGCGGATATCATCCCCCTCTCGAGCTACATAAAACAAATTGCAAATATTAGCTTTAGCCCGTTCAGGAAGGCTAAAAGAAACAGTTGATTTTGTGAAATTAATTTTTTGTCCCGATTCTAGTGCATAGGTGTTAAGTATTTCTTTCATTTCATTTCATTCTTCCACATTTGCTTTGAAAAAGAGGAAGCTATCATACGAAGGACCCCTAGCAACTAATATTCCATGAATTTTACGCATACTCTCCTTTCGCAAGTATGCTAATCTACGCTTGCACGCATCCACTCTTGATTGGAATCCCAGCGTAGGCTTCCTACTCCATTTCTCAAGCTCACGGCTGCACCCTCTTATCCTTTCCCACACCTCAATTTGCCTTTCATTCCTCCAGGATCGCTGCACTACGTCCCTGCAACCTTCCTCTATGGGCCAAATGTTTTCAAACTTAAAAGTTTTCCTTCGAAACTGGCTGCCAACTACCTTCGGTCGAACTAACAGCATGAGATGATCGCTCGAGGGGCCTTCCATTGATGTAGCATATATGCAATATTACGGAATAATAGCTCACCCTATTAGGGTGTTCCGATGTATATTTATAATAATACAGAAAGTAATGAAATTACAAATATGTCACATGCAATCTACTATTACACCCCTCAATCTGTGCAGGGGAAACAACGCGCAGATTGGAGCGTAAAATTCAAAACGTTGACTAGATAAATTTTTAGTAAAAATTTCAGCTAACTGCATCTGAGTAGGAACATATTTAACGACCAAATCTCCATGAGCAACACGTTCGCGGATGAAGTGATAATCAATCTTGAAATGCTTACTACGATCATGTTGAATAGGGTTGACAGCCAAATACGAAGCAGAGGCATTATCACAATGAAGCTGAACAGGACTAGAAATGGTGATGCCCATATCTGTAAGTAAGGAGCGAATGAAGAGAGTATTCTGAACAGTGTAAGCAAGAGCCTTATATTCCGCTTGGGTAGAGGACTTGGAGACTGTAAGTTGTTTCTTGGACCTCCAAGAAATAAGATTTGCACCCAAGAAAAATAGCATAACCTATTGTGGAATGACTGCTATCGGGACAACCGGCCCAATCCGCATCAGAATAAGCACAACCAAAATCACGAAGAAAATTAAAATCAGGAGCTTTATTAAAAAGTTTTTCGAAAGGAGTTAAATTTTTCAAAATTGGTGTGGGAAGGCGATCCAATAAGCGATCAAGTTTTTCTTCGAGCCACTAGTCTGTTCCCCGTACTCGTTCCTAGGTCCATTGGTACCCTTCAAACTGCAGATTACGTAGTCCACTTCCCCGAATTGCGTCACGAAAGCCTTGCATAAGCCAGTTAGGCTGTGGCAGCTGGCCTCTTCTCTCGCTGTCGAACATGGTATCATTGAAGTCTCCTGCCACAAGCCAAGGGTTGTCAAACTGGTGGGATAGACTACGTAGCATACTCCACGATTCACGCCTTCTATTCCTTTCCGGGCAGCCATAGAAGCCGGTAAAACGCCATTCTAGCTCCCCTTCCTCTATACACAGTAAACAATCAATATAATGCAATGAGTTCGCATACACGTGCAATGTCACATAATCACGCCACAGAAGGCATAACCCTCCGCTAAGACCAACGCTTTCAACCACAAAGCTATGTTCAAAGCCTAGCTTCTCTCGCAACATCTTGCGTCGCCCAAATTGTGCTTTAGTTTCCATAGGAAAAATTACAGACGGCTTCTTCTCCCGAACCAAATCAGATAGTACCTGTACGGTCGCCAAATTCCCCAAACCACGACAATTCCAACTTACAATACTCATTTTGAAAGATAAACTAGTCTATCAGATAAAGCCATGTCCCTTGCCAATCGCCGCTGATGATAGCCTTGCTCTGTCTCAAACGCCGGACTGAATGAATAGATCACCGCCGGAAAGACACGCCGGACTGAATGAATAAATCACCGCCGGACGAACCCTAGAATATACCGCAAAACTTTTTCAATGTTTTAATTCAACAAAATCACAACCGCCAATTGAAATAAAAATGGATAACCAAATTCAAGATAGGCATCACTCGTCACTCAGAATACACCTCTTGCATGGTATGGTTATCCGAAAGATGCAGCAGGACTTCATACTTCACCGTCACTCAGAATACAATGTTTGTTTAATTCTACGAATTTTATCGATACAGGACATGAAAGTTATAAGAATCAATTCGGGACCTGAAAGAGGAAATGCATCGATATAGGACCCGAATGATGAAAAACTATCCATTTAGGAACAAGTAATTATCCTAAATGAGAGTAAAACATGGAGAAAGTTCCAAAATAGGAGTTGTTATTAATTAATTCCTGGAATAGGAGTATTTAGTTGACCGGTCCGTTTGTTTTGCCAATTTTACCCTTCTTCACAAATTATTTTGTTTTATTCTACCAGATTCTCTTCCTTTCTTCACGCAACCTATTTTCAACTCTATCCTCTCTCTATCTTCACTGAATCCTCTCCCTTCTCTCATCTCTTTCCTCTAGCATTTCTTTCCCTTACCGGTCTTTTTCCATCTCCCACTTCTCCATCTAGGTTAGAACGCTGAATATTTCTCACCAACTCCGGTCACCGGCGACGGCGGTAATCATAGAGGTAAGTTTTGATTTTATTCTCCTTCTCTTCCTTCATCTCTTCATCTCCTTCTTCTTCTCTTTCTTCTGTCTTCTCTTATTTTGCTTGGAGGCATAGCCTCGTTTTTTTGAAGCTTGAAGCAGTTGCTCAATTATCAAACAATCAAAATGATAACATCGGGCTTTTTTATTTGATTTTTCCCCCACTTTCTCCCCTGTTTTGAGATCTGTTTTTTTTTTGTTGATTTCCTTTTTCCATTTTTTTTGTTTTGTCGTTCAATTTTGTTTCATCTTTTGTTCTTTTGACATTTTTATTTATATTTTACAATACATATTGCAATTTTTTACATTGGATTCCATTTAGTATTTTTTTAATTTGAAGATTATTTTTTGGTTTGAATGTAAAATTGCCATCATTACTATGCCTTTTCCTCCTTTAATTTTCTTTCAATTTTTCTTCCAACTTTTTTTTTTACTTTTTATTTTCATATCAATCAATTTTTTATATTCTTCAAATTAGTTTTATATGATTTGAATTCCAAATGTCCATAATTGCTTTTAAATTTAGACATTGAAATGGAAATATTACTCTTTTGCAAATAATGTCATGTTTGTGTACGTTAACATATTATTTTGACATTTATTGTCATTTTTATGGTACTAAATCTTTCTAGATGGAAAAACAAGACCAATAATGCCATATTTCTTTCATATCTAAAAAACGTAATGTTTGCACATAGTGCCATTTTATGGCACAAACTATGTAATGATGGCAATATTATTTCCCCTGCAAATCTAACACTATTTATAGTGTCAATAAAAGGATACTAACATTCATATCTTTTTTTATTATATAAATTCTATATAAAATGATTTTTAAATGGTGAGGTGGTATTATAAATCATTTTTTTTTCAGATTTGAAAGTTGTGATAGTGGATCCAAACATGGTAGTGGTTCCACAAGAGGTGTGGCGCTGAACAAGTAGAATGGGATCCGGCAGCGGCAACGGCAGTTGTGATGTAGATGTAGGCGTTGATGACTGACCAACCGCGGCCGGCGACTGGCGGCGGAGGCACCTGGCAGCTGCGATGCCGGCAAAAATGAGGATAGCGATGGAGATTGCGGCGGCGGCGGCGCCTGACGGCGGCGGCAGGGGACGACTAGTGGCGGTGATTGGCAGACTAGTTGTGACTGGCGGTGCCAGGTCCTGCCCCTGGTGGTGCCGGCGTCAACTTATGGTTGGGGTGGTCATGAGGAGAAAATAAGTTGTTGACTTTTGTAGTGCATTAATTAGCTTAGTTTTCATTAAGGGCATTCTTGTCTCTTACTATTAATTTCCGTATGACAAACTACATGTGAGATAGGAGTCCTACTTTTTCATATTTGATATGTTTTACTCCTAAATTGGGAATTCTCTCTACTTGAATGATTGAAAACTATCAAACTACGACCTAAGTTATCAGATTTTTTTTAATTTTAAATTTTATTTAGTTTTACTAAACTAATAAACTTTTGTTAAGAAAAGTTTATCAAAAATTAGTAATTGAATTAATAAAAAATTAAATAAATCAAAATATATGAAGTGTTAGATCCTAGATTGATAGTTATACATCATTCAGGTCCTATACCGATACATTTCATCTTTCGAGTCCCGGATTGATAATTTATCTATCTTTCGTGTCTTGAATTGATAAAATTCCATAATTCTATTAACGACATTGAAAATTTTAATAACGACGATTCTAAATTGTATTTTAATGGAATCATCGCAATCAATGAAAACCAAATACCATAGATATGTTGTCTCATGATGTTTTTACTTGGACTGTAATCCGTCCTAGACCAGATCAGATCAAAGCAGACCAGACCAGACCAGACCAGCAAATTACAGTCCAAATAAAAACATCCTCACTTGTCACCACAAACCACAAATATTGATATACAACAACGCATCCGAAATAATTCCACAATAAATGTGAGCTTTTTCAAAAACGTGTAGGTGTAGGCGGTGTAGCTTTACATATTCCTGATACTTTTTTTTTGTTTAGTTTCTCATTTGTATTCGTTATATCAATTGCATATATTATTTATTTTCTATATACGGAGTATGTTTTATACCTTTTGAGCGCTAATTTATCTACTTATCTACTTACTTAATAATAAGGAAAAACTGTCAAATAGGTCCCCATAGTATAACAAAAAAGTCAATTGATTCCGTGTACTACTAAAACACTCGATCGTTTTAGGTCCCCGTAGACATCTATGCGTCGAACCAAGAACCAAATAATAGGAAGCACCCAGGGGCGGAACCAGGGGAGCGAGCCGGTGCTGGCGCCACCCCTTCGCCGGAGATTTTTAAGTAGTAGTATCAGGTACTCTGATTGGCGCCCCGCCATAGCTTCATCTTCTTCCTTGCAATTAGGAAAACCTGCGGTGCGGCAGCGAGCCATAGAGAACGATGAAAGCTGGAGCCTGTTTTTTAATTAATTCAATCAGCAAATTAGAACGGAGTCGTTTGTTCAAGTGCACAGGAAAAGGAAATACGACGTCGTTTCGTCGTTAAATGATATGCACGCGGTTGAATTTCTCGTCGTTCCTCCTTCCTCTCTAGCTCGTAAAACGACGAACTCGGCCCTCGCGTCTAATACCTTCAGTCTTGCAAAGTCGCAGCGGACTTCTCTAGCTTCCCTAGACCATATCTCCGATCATCCGAACTCTGAAGGCTAGTAGCCTGTAGCCTACGACTTCCTAGTTTGGCAATTATTTTTAAAATTGAAATCTTTTTCAACTACTTTCTATTTGCTTTTTGCTTTGATTACTTACTAGTTTTTAAGCAAAATGTGATTTAATTTAGTTAATTTTAAATGTGATTTTTTCGGAATCTTGTATATGAGTGTATATATATATATAATGTGGTGCAAAAGCAAAATAAATTTAGGGGTTGTTTACTTTCGGCCATTAAGTAATGTTTACTTACGATTTAATTGGAAATATGATTTAATCATTCAATCAAAAATTGACTTAATCATTAAGCTGGAAAATAGTAGTTATTCTCGTTAAGATGTTTGTTAAGTCGTTTTTCTGTCATTTTTTCTGTCATTTTTTTTAAATGAAGAGTTCAGGGATTCAAACGTATTCCACCTTCCATGCGCAATTCAAATGTCAGGTCCACCCATGTAGAGTGGGATTCTTTCTCCATTATTTCAAATGTCATTGTGTTTTTGTTGATGGTAAATGGTTTAAGTAATAGTATCACCTCATTCTGTGTATTGGTAATGAAAAAGTCAGTATTTTATTAACTGATCATTGTTGTCATTTGTATTATCGTAAAAGGGGTACAATTGCTATGTACTTTCAATAGAAAATCAACTATGATCGATTAATACTTTATTGATATACTTTCGTATATATTTAGTTTTTCAATTTTGATATAATAAAAGTAGATAAAAATATACGACCTCCGTATTTAAAAGTTTGATACACTTTCTTCTTTGGAATGTATTTAAATGTTTGATACACTTTCGCTTTTATTAAGGTGTTCCTTAAAAATATTCAATTATCTTTACCTTTTATACTTTCTATCTTGGCTTAAATAAGTTTTTAGTCCCTACAAATATAACACACTTCGTTTCTAGTCCCTGCAAAATATTTCTTTTTTTCCACCCCTGTAATATGCACTATTTTGTTTTTAGTCTATCTCTAATTGCAAAATCGCTCTACTTACAAACAAAATTATTGTGAGTTGCATAAATCTACTTCAAATATTTAAATTTGTCCTTTTATAATTTATTGAGACTAATATGAGAGTTAAAACAATGTAAAACTAAGTATTCACATTTCCAAAATATATATTAAAAACCTTCTAAAGATTAAAATTAAATACTTTTTGAATGACATGACAAAGAATGAGAGGAAATCTAATATTCGGGGTTATTTTGAGGTGAATCGGAGGTTATTATCATCGGTTAAGCCCATCACAAGATTAGCGAATATTATTGATTCTACAGAGGTGATATATTCTAAGTCTGGTTCGAGGGCGGACGACAGACATAAGACTTTTTATCATTTTGTTTACTTCTTTTTCTTGGATTGTATTATCCGCCATGTTACGAACGTTATTTTGATTTAATATATTCGTTGTATTTGATGATTAAAAAAAATTGAACTCTTTTCTCTATTGAACAATTCTAAAGTAATAAAAAAAGAAATATGAAGAGTCTCTAGGGATTCTAAACTAATACTCCGTATGTAAAGTTTGTATGGTCATCAATATTAAAAGTTAAATATGGCAAAGTATAGGCTAAGCTTCCTTTTTTGTTTCTAAATTCTGAAATGAGAAATTAAGATATGGCTTACATGCACGTTGGGTTTGAAGTTGATAAAGTTACCAAATAAGATGGATTTTCATATCAACATGTAATAAAAACATAATGTAATAAAAAAAGGTATAGAAAGTAATTAAATAATCAATATATATATATATAAAAGAGGAACTTTTTAAGAGCATACAAAGCGGCACATAATCCTGCCATGTCATTATATATATTA